GGAGAGTGGCCACCAGAAGGGATAGAAGGCAAGCAAGGCTAGGAGGCATCAGAAAGGAAGGCTAGGATGAGGGATGTCTATGGGGATTCTTGGGCATCCAGGATGTTCCAAAGATGCTTTTTTCCCAAAAGGCAGCTGGACTTTCTGCTTTTTCTTCGAAGACCTTTCACTTCTCCTCCAAGAAGCTTCTTCAGCTCCTCCAGAAGCTTCCGGAGCTGAAGAAGCTTCCTGGAGGAGAAGCAAAACATCTTCAAAGAAAAACCAGAAAGTCCAGTTGCCTCTTGGAGGAAAAAAAGTACCTTTGGGAGAAACGGATGAGGGCAGCTGGCCCTAGCCTGTGCCCCTCGTGTATGGGCATCCATCCCAAGGAAGGACTTAATCCAGCTTCAAAAAGAGCCCATGCTCCACAGCCAGCCAATCTGCAAAAGCGTGGAGGTGGGCAGGGGGGGCGTACATATCCCGTGTTCAAGACCAATCACGCACAAGTTCCCCCAATGTAGTGCCCAGAGATGCGGGTGGTGGTGGTAGGTGGGTGGGCAAGGGATAAAAGTTGCGGGTATGGCATCCCCCCTCCCCCACAAAAATGCCTTTGCATTGGGCAGTTTCTTCAACCTTTGGCTGCATTGCGCTTTTGTAGAACAAGCCTGCCCCCAACTGAAAGTGGGTGTGTGGGCAACTGCCATTGCTACCCACGTTGTTGCTGTCCTTCTGAAGAGCTATGCTCATGCTGGCGATACAGAAGGCAGGGGGAAGAAGTTTCTCTTCTGCCTTACGACCTCGTCTCCTCCTCCTTTACCCAAAGTGAGACGCAACTAACAGAGAAACCCCCGCGGTGGCCCAAGGCCAAGGTGCCCCATGTTAAAGTTGAACCCCTTTTCTGTGCCAAGTGGGAAGGGAGCCTAAGCAAAGTAGGAGGTGGAGAGCTGGGCAGAGAAAGGGGGAAACCTTAGCGAGGGCTGTCTGCCACCAACTATAAGCCAATTGATCAGGGAGGCATGCTGCTGCCCCTCATGCCGTGCTTTGTAGGTGCTGGAGCCCCATGTGGACCTCTTATGGGGTGTTGGGCAACCTGGTTCTGGGAATCCCTTCCAAAAAAGACCATCGCTCTGGTTCCTGTGGCTTTTTCGGGGGTTTCTTTTAAAAAATGCCTTTCCAGACGATCTTGAAAACCTGCGAGGTTGCTTTGGAAGGGGGACAGACAGGCAGCATCATTCAAGATTGTCTGGTGAGGCGTTCTTTAAAAGAACCCCCCCAAAAGCTGCAAGATCTGGAGATATGGGCAGGAGGTCTTTTTTGGGGGTGGAAATCATCAGAACCAGGTTGCCCAGCACCATGAAGAGGTCCGTGTGGGGCTTCAGTGGCTGTAAAATGTGGCAGCAGGGAGCCTAAGGAAAGGCGGCAGAGAGGTGGGCGGAGGAAGGGGGAAACTACTGCTAGTGGTGAAGCTGCCTTGCCCCGCTGTGCAGGGCTCTGGCAGCTGCAAAGTGCGGCACAAAGGGCAGAAGTCTTTGAACCCAGCAGGGCAACACAGCTCCACCAGTAGCAGTAGCTTCTCCCTTCCTCCGCCCACCTCTCTGCCTCCTCCTCTGGAGAGGCTTTTTAAAAAAGAAACCCTTGAAAAAGCCGCAAGATCTGGAGAGATGGGCAGGTGGTCTTTTGGGGGGGGGGAATCACCAGAATCAGGTTGCCCAGCACCCTGAAGAGGTCTGTGGGGGGCTCTGGTGGCTGCAAAGTGTGGTACAAGGGGCAGAAGTCCCTGAACCCAGCAGGGCAATGCAGCTCCAGCAGTTTTCCCCTTCTTTCGCCCAGCTCACTCGCTTTTCACCCGGAGGCTATGCCAGTGGGGCGCCTGCCATTTCACTCCTGAGAGAAGCTCGGGAGAGACATGCAAACGGATGGAACTCGAGGCTCCCGAGGAAGACGCTGGACACTGGGAGTGGTGGTGGCGCCCACTGCTTCTCCTTCTGCTGCTCCCGAGGGTCAAAGTACCTGAAAGGGAACAGGCAGGCTGCCACAGCTCCAATGGGAAGACTTTCTGAGAAGAGAAAGTTCTCCTGTCCAACTGCACTCGAGCTGGTGGAGCACCCATGCGATCGGAGCAACCGCGTGGCTCACCTGCATTGGCTGTCTCCCTGGTGACAGGTGGGCAGTTGTGTGTGCTCCACCAGCTTGGGTACAGCCGGACCAGAGCCCTTTCTCTTCTCAAAAATGTCTTCTCTGGGGAGCTGTCACAGCCTGCCTGTCCCTTTCAGGTACTTTGACCCCATGGAGGGAGGGGACTAGGGGGGCATAAAGGGAGCCGCAGATCCTCTGTGAATGGAGGGGGAAAAGTTCGGCTTCTCTCTGCCATTTAAAGGCTGCAGCAGGGAGAATCCCAACTTTTTTCCTCTCCCTCCATTCAAAGCGGAACTGCTCCAGCCTCCCCCCACCACATACACATGTTCCCCAGTAACCCTAACCTTTGCACTCTTCTTCACGCTCTCCTCAGCTCCTCGCGACCAGTAGATGCCCAGAAGTGGTTTTTAGGGCTAATGGTGCTTGGGTTTCCAGCCTGACAGCCGCCTCCACTTCTGGACATCTATTGCATTCGTGAGGAGTCGAGGGTAGCGTGGAAAAGAGCGCGAAGGTTCTTGGTGCTCCGGGAAGCCACAAAAGCAGCTGGGAGAGACACGCGGCTTGGTTTAGTCTCCCTGGACATCGCAGCAGCAGCCCCAAGCCTGGCAATCTCGGCCTTTTTCACATTGGTGCGTGCTGCAAGAGGGAGTGAGTGAAGACCTTCTCCGGATTGCTTGTGGTGGAGATGTGGTCCCATCGCCTGTGCTCAGCAAAGCAAGTCTGGGGAAGTCCTTTGTGCTGGCCTGAAAAGGTCTTTCCGACATCCAGGGAGGCTAAACCAAGCCGCGCACCTCTCCCAGCCACTTTCGCGGCTTCTCGGAGCGCCAAGAACCTTTGCGTTCTTCTCCGCGCTCTCCTCAGCTCCTTGTGACTGCAGTAGACATCCAGAAGTGATCAGGGCTGTCGTGCTGGAAACCCAAGCCCCATTAGCCCCAAAAGCTGCTGTGACAGCAAAGAGCTTACTTACTTCCTCAGCAGGCAGCAATAGAAAGCCAAGGGCTCTCTATAGGGCTCTTAGAGGCTTGGTGCAGATGGGTGGGGCCTGGGGGTGAGTGAGCAAGGGGGCGTTCCACTGCTGGAACCGGTTCTAAACAGCACGCTAGATTCGTGGAACCTATTCTAGTGAACCAGTTAAAACCGGCAGGAACCCATCCCTAGTCTGGAGGTAGGTATAAAAATGGAAACAAGTACATTTTTACATACGGTACTTTGAAATATTGACTAAATGTTAATTTTCCCTGTCAGGGTCTTACATATTTTATTCTGATAGGTAAATATTCTTGAAAACAGCAGAAAGAATAAAATAACAGAGTTGGAAGGGACCTTGGAGGTCTTCTAGTCCAACGCCCTGCTCAGGCAGGAAACCCTGCACCACTTCAGACAAGTGTTTATCCAACATCTTTTTAAACTCTTCCAGTGTTGGAGCATTCACAACTTCTGGAGGCAAGTTGTTCCACTTTCTTTGTTGTTCTAACAATCTTCTAAATAGAAGAATGAAAAATAATGGGATTCTCGCCTTAGGTTATGTTGGTTTTCAGGCAAAGGATTATTGATGTAAAATTATAACTGAACATAAGAAATTCTCACAAAGAATAAAACTGGGTTTATCTCATTTTATTTTAAAGGACTATTCTGCCTTAATCATCTTACAAGTGATACATTTCATAGGGTTTTTATACTCTTGTGATTTGATACCCTTGCTATCAATTGTGCTGGGGGATACATTTTTCTCTTATTTAGAAAGACTTTGCCCCTTGTGGGGACAGGAATATTGAATCACAGGCTCATGTTTTATTTCAGGACTAATATCTCTTTTTAATTCATTCCCTGAACAGAGACAATATTTTTGCATGGTTTTTTCCAGCTGAAAGAGATGCTAAAATAATCTTTACCGTGCTCAGTTTGTAACTGTAGATGGTACAATTTATGCTTGGATAATGGTAAAGTAGACTGCAGTCACATAAATAGTTATTTGCTTATCTCAGCTCAATTTTTAACGCTTCTGCTTTCTGTTTAATTTCTTTTAGGCTACTTTTTGACCTTTTTGGAACCAGTAAACAATATCACCATTGTCCAGGGCCAGACAGCAATTCTACACTGCAAAGTAGCAGGAAATCCATCACCCAATGTTAGATGGTTAAAAAATGATGCACCAGTGGTTCAAGAGCCAAGAAGGATCATTATAAGAAAAACAGATTATGGCTCACGATTACGAATCCAAGATCTTGACACAACTGATACTGGTTATTATCAGTGTGTAGCCACAAATGGGATGAAGACAATAACTGCAACAGGAGTTCTTTTTGTAAGACTAGGTGAGTAATTATTTTAAAATGGGTTTTTTAATATATAATGAGCTTATTCCCCTTATTCCCTTACACTTTATAACTTGTGGCATGAAAGAAAATCAATAAAGTCCTTGCCCGGGGCTCCCTTCCCATTTTGTCTATGTTGAATTTGACACCATAAATTAGTAATAAAAGAAAATAGATACAGATGGTATGATTAGCAAATGTGAAGTTTAGAGAATTGCAGAAATGTGAAATATGATTGGGAAAATATCCTTATGAAAAATACAGACAAATGGTCTTTCATTACTTCATATTTTGTACAATTTGTATAATTTTGAAATCATTATGTTTTTGTGCTCAGACTAATAAGTACCAGTTCCTATCTAGAACTTACAACTTCGATCATGTGATGTAAAAGTTGCATAACTTGAAAAAAACTTAAGTAATTCACTTGGATAAAAGTCTATAGATCTTATTCAACCACAATGAGGTTTTGTTGACTTTAGTGATGAGTTTAATCTCTGCGTCAAAAAAATGCTGGGTTTAATTCTTTACACCTAAAATAATTAGAATTAACCTATTTTGAGTTTGCCAATCAGATAATTGCTGATGAGCTCCTCTGTGTCAGAATAGAATTGGATTATAGCAATTTATCTCTTCTAGGAAAGATTACAGATAGGTTTCCTTGACGAGGGGATTCTGCCGCTTTCTGGACAAAGCAGCATGCAGGAAACCTGTCATTTATGTCATTAATAAGTTCTGTGTCTTTTAAATGGATTGTCCCTTTACTGTCTTCTATGCTGTAGGGAATTCTTCGAAGATTTGATCAATAGTTTTAAAATATTTTGCCAATAGTTTGATAGATATTGGACCATGCTGGTTGGGAGATGATGGAATAGCCAGCCAAACATTTTTGTAGCAAAATGTAGAGTAGTCTTCATTATAGTAACTCTAGACATTATTGCTCATTACATACATTTAGAAGTGCTTTTATAAATTGTAACATTTGATCCACAATTCTCTGCAGTCATAATATAAATCTTATCTTGCAAAAATTACGTTCAAATTGAATTTTCTGATTGAAATAAATAAAAATACAGTAGTGTTACTGGTTAATGTAAATTGGAAAGTTGAAAATAATTGACCAAAGATGGCAGTAGCAAACTAATTCTATACTTTTCTCAAAAGCCTTCATGGTTATGTTCAAGTAATAAATAATAAGAATTAGTAGTAGTTTGTTTCTTTAATTATTGTTTATTTATTCACAGGTCCAACACACAGTCCAAATCATAAATTTCAGTAAGTATTGTTTAAGATTTATTTATGTATTTATTATTCAGCCCAGTTATTTCTGAATTTGTAAGTTTGCTCATTGTAACCAAGATTTTGGTAAAAAATGTTGAATTTTAGAACAAGCAATATTTTCTTATGTTTGTTTTTTGTGTCATCATATCGAAACCAGATTTACCAAAGAATGGCCTTCGCTTGCTGCAGTTTTAATTTTCACCAGATTTAGTATACAATAACTCTGAAAGTCAAGAAGTGAAATAATTGTTGTAACATAAATAAATTACATTCCAAGGTCTTGGGGTTTTTATTTTTGTTGTTTCTCTAAGTTTTAATCTGATATGTTGGTTATAATAGTATCTGAATTTTAAACTGGCTAGGAATTAATATGAATCTACTCTACATTTATGCTGTTTATATAATTTATTTATATGTCTTAGAAGCAAAACTATGCAGATTTGGAAAGTAAAGAAGTGATATTTAGTGATGTAAACATGCTATTGACAAAATTGTCTTTTTGGTCAATTGGGCATATTGAATATTGAAATAATAGAATGAGACCAACAATTGTGTGGAGACACTCACAGGTATTCATACATAGCCAACTAAGAGTAGATTTACTACATTCAGATATCATATCTTGCTTTACAATATTATAGCAGGAATAGGACTTTAACATGTGCCCTTTTTCAGCAGAGCTATTAAGTAGGTTAGATTTCACTTTTGATTTACTGCAGTTAAGTGTTCTGTTCCAACCCTAAATTACAACTAATCCTAACAAGACAGTTTCATTAATTCATCATAGTTTTAAGATTAAGCAGTTTGTCAAATTCATAGAAAACAAATGGTGATGAATCTTAACTGTAACAAAAGCTTCTTTTCCAGAGAAGAGAAGAGCTGATTACAAAAATGTTATGAATGGAACTCAACTCATGAAATGGCCCTGCTGCCAGATGAGGAAAGGACACTTGTAATGTTTAAGTTTTCTTACTCTCCTTTTGCGTACTGGATATGGGAGACTTTCCCAAACCAGGAACCTTCTCAGAAGGTGGTTTTCCCAGAATGACAAACATTGGCTGAGGAATTTTAAGAATTGAAGTACATCAAAAGGTTACACAAATTGGGAAAAGATGTAGGATGGGCTACAAAGAAAACCATGTATTGGGAGGAAGTGGGATAAACTTCCCTTGTAAGTCCCTTAAATGAAGGAATTCCAGAGTCCCTTTCCAATTCCAGGAAAAAAAAGATGCTCAGTGTTTAGTAAATTATGCTAATAAAAAAATCAGACAGACCATTTTAGCAGCACCAGTTCCTCCAAATAATTTTGGGAATGTTTTGATGTGCCTTGCAGGAGCAATGGAGATATACTTCTATGTGTTATGAATATTCTTGAATGCATGTCAAAGAGGAAGCATGTATTTCTAGTTTATTAAACTTTAACTGAATTGGATCTTCTCAAAAATAAAAAATAAAAATACAGCAAAGAGATTTTAAGGATTTCAGTGCTGTTGGGTAACAAGAGAGGCTGAATGGGAAACTCCATTTTTTCCTAATTCATAAATGAGATTATATTACTCCAGCAACAGCAATTACTTGTAGAAATGAGCCTTCAATTGACAAAAGAAATTAGCCTTGTATTTCAAATAATGGTGGTCAAGCAAGCAGGTATAAGAACATTGCTTTTCCACAGATTATCATGCCTTGAAAAAAGTAGTTTAAGTTTATTTAAGTTGACTACACTCAGGACATTGAGAAATCATGTGAAACTAGCATATGTGGTAATAGTAGTAAGAATAGTAGTGAATCATTTTAACTGCTACAAAGGCTCTCTTTCCAAGTTGTGTTATTTTTCATGATCAGAATTTTTGCATAGCCTGTCCCAAATATCTTGTTATGATATCAATTACAGTAGAAAAAATCTCAAAGTTGATTAATATTATAATTATTTTCAACAAAATCAAAACAACTGTATTTATTTTCCATCCTTGTGCTCTCCTTATGAATTTCCACAAAAGGCTGGTTGTATGTCTTCAGCAAATTCAGTGATTAGAAGCAACTTTTTTTTTCAACAATGGAATAATTTTACCATGTATGTTAGACTAATTGTTTTTTTTTAAATAACCATTTGCTATTCCCCAACTGCAGGAAAAAAATACAAAAAATAGTGTCCTTTATATGGATGCAACATAGAAAATTGAAATATATTGCATTATGTAGCTGGTTCTAATTAAGTCTTATTACTCTGAAAGAATGTAAAGGCATTTTCTTGTATTGTAACAAAAGCAACATTCCAGAGATGGGAGTTAGAGTAGGAAGAATAAAGAGTTATCCAAAGACTAAATAGCATGCTAGAGGAGATGAGTAACATGTGCAATGTTTGGATGTTCTTCAAGTTATGGCAGTGAGATTCATAGTACCACATGTGTGCCAATGTGGGTGAAAGTATGTGAAGAAATATTGTAATGTGCCTTGTATCCAACTGCAGTTCACAAACTCCAGCAGATGGTCCAATTGAGTTAAGGACTTTCACAGGAATGAATCGTTTATTATAAAATATTATCATAGTCCCCAAAATTGTTAAATCAGTAGGAATAAAAATTGGAGTTTCATTACAACATAGTGTATTCAACCTCCTAATGCTTTGTACATGCAAATTTTCATTGAAATATATTCTGGGAATAGTTATTGGAAAATTGCCCAAGATTGAAAAATTAGGTTTCAGTTACTTAGTGTTTTTAAATACATCTTTACAGCAATATTAATCAGTTAATAATGTACCACAAAGCAGAAAGTTTCTGAAATATGTAATAGGTCCTTGTCTGTTTCATAATTTTATACTTTAAGACAGCAGTTCCCAATCCTTTTGGTTGGGATCAGTTTCTGGAAGATAATTTTTTTGCTCACTTGCACTTCCCCACTGCTCACCTCCAGCTGTGTGGCCCAGTTCGTAACAGGCCACGGAGCAGTACCGGCCCATGGCTGGGGGTTGGAGACCCCTGCTTTAACACACTTTTGTTTGTTCAACAAGTTAGTTATACGAACAAGGATTTGTAATTTGTTTTTTTTACCAATTATACTTAGCTTTCAACTATCATTATGATTCATTCCTAACAATGAATCTGGAATAATAAAAATTGAAACTAAATCCTGGTTAAGCCTTTCTTCTAACCCTGTTGGAAGAGAATAGGGAAGAACATGAGCCTGAGGCATTGTTTAGTCTCACAGAAGCTGATCCACACAGAGCTAAATCAAGGCTTAGTTGCGTATTGCCTTGCTTGCACATAAGGCTGTTTGCCTTCTTTGTTCTTTCTGAAATTAATTCATCTTGCAAATTCTGTTCTGCAGGCACAGTTGTAAACTGAGATTGGAGAGATTCAGAGGGAGAGTGTATAGCTTTCCTGTAAGTTTCCTGCTGCTTAAATCTACCCAAAAAAGAAAAAAAGGCTTGTGTCATGATTGAGAGTAAGCAATAAAAGCAGGAACCATTTTTTACAGACAATAAAGAAGAGAAAGATACTGGGAAGAGCTAAGCAATTAATGTTTGTCAGTAGAAAATTTCTAAGCTTATTGGCTCTTACAAGATTGACCAGAGATTAAGAACAATAATAGTTTTATTTGCATGTAGGTGAGAGTGTGCATGTGTGTGTGTGTGTGTGTGTGTGTGTGTAGGTAGGTAGTCCTCAAGTTAAGACTCATTCATTTAGTGACCAAAGTTACCATGGCACTGAAAAAAGTGATTTATGACTTTTCATACCTACAACTGTTGCAGTTTCTCCATGGTCGCATGATCAAAGTTCAGATGCTTGCCATGCGTTTATGACAATTACATTGTCCTGGGATCATGTGATCACGTTTGACAAACAAAGTCAATGGGGAAGCCACATTTATTTAATAACCATGTTACTAACTTAACAAGCGCAGCGATTAATTTAGCAACTTGGACAAGAAAGTTACTAAAATGGGCTACAACTCATTTAACAACTACCAGCAACAGAAATTTTGGACTCAATAGTGGTTGTAAGTCAAGAACTACCTGTATATATGGATGCATTCATTGATTTGATTTGTTTGCCTGCTCATTTGACATACATGACCCTTGGTAGCTAGCAATTAAACAAAATAAACACAGGATAAAACTTCAGTAAAATAGAATAGCTGTCAAGGACATTCATTATCCCACATTCAAATCAGCCACAAAATTACCCCCCCCCCCCCACTGCCAGGCCCTAGTTAAATGGCGAACCCAGATTTTTAGAAGACCATGCCAAGGAGCTGACCTTCCATTTTCTGACATGTGCGCCAGTCACCTGGTCTTCCGGTTTCGGGCATGCATGAAGACCAGCTGGAAACCGGAAGAGCAATGGGCAACAGCTGGCATGCCCAGAGAGATGGCTTTGTGTGCCACTTCTGGCATGCGTGCCATAGGTTTTCCATCACTGCTTTAGGAGGAGCTATGAGTCCAGTAGAATATAACACAAAATAAATATAATTTAGGTGCAAACTATTCCGGAAGATCAGATTTGTAAATGATCTAGATTATACAATCATTTCAAAGAATAAGAAGCTTGTAAGATTTTTAAAAATGATGTTATATATGTTCTCACCATAGATTTCAGCCGATAACTGCATTCATATGCTCTTTGATTTGTCGATGACACAGTAGATATGTTAGGCAAGATATGTTAAGCATATGGTCCCTCTCTGTTTAATCTGAGAGGTAATTTATTAGATTCATAATGCTTGGTTCTATCTATTGTTACGTTTGACAGATTTGTCTAAGGTAGAATTTCCATCCCACAATTTTAATTCTATTTAATCCTCTGATCTTTGTGGCATAGACCTTTGCCAACTTGGTACCCTCCAGACGTGTTAGGACTGTGATTCCCAGAGATTTTTTTTAGTACAAGAGCACATTTAAATCAGAGGTGGGTACATGTTTGGTCACTGTTCCATGTTTTACTGGACTGTTCTTAAATTTCTGGTTGTAGGTAGTTAACATAAGTTAACTAGAG